ATGATGAGCAACTCTATGCCAGCAAATTAGATAACCTGGAAGAAATGGATGCATTCCTAGAGATGTATCAACTACCAAAACTGAACCAGGAAGAAGCAGAACACCTGAACACACCCATAACCAGCAAGGAAATTGAAGCAGTCCTCAATCTCCCAACAAACAAGAGCCCAGGGCCAGATGGCTTCCCTGTGGAAGTCTACCAAACGTTTAAAGAAGAATTTGTTCCAAAAAATGGAAATGGGAGGGAAAGTTCCACACTTTTTATGAGGCCAGCATTACTCTGATCCCCAAACCAGACGAAGACCCCTACCAAAAAGGAGAATTACAGACGAATATCTCTCCCTGATGAACATGGATGCCAAAATTCTCACCCAAATACTAGCCAATAGGATCCAACACTACATTAAAAGGGTTATTCACCACGACCAAGTGGGTTTATTTCCTGGGCTGCAAGTTTGGTCCAACATCCACAAATCAATGTGATACAATACATTAATAAAAAAACGAGAACCCTATGATCCTCTCGATAGATGCAGAAAAGGCATTTCAGAAACTACCGCATCCTTTCTTGATTAAAACACTTCAGAGTGTAGGGATAGAGGGTGCATACCTCAATATCATAAAAGCCATCTATGAAAAACCCACAGCGAACATCATTCTCAATGGGGAAAAACTGAGAGCTTTCCCCCTAAGGTCAGGAACATGGCAGGGATGTCCACTATCACCAGTGCTATTCAACATAGTATTAGAATCCTAGCCTCAGCAATCAGACAACAAAAAGAAATAAAAGGCATCCAAATCAGCAAAGAAGAAGTCAAACTCTCACTCTTTGCACATGATATGCTTTATGTGGAAAACCCAAAAGACTCCACCCCAAAACTGTTAGAACTCATAAAGTGGCAGGATATAAAATCAATGCACAGAAATCAGTGGCATTTCTATACACCAACAAGACAGAAGAAAGAGAAATTAAGGATTAGTTGATCCCATTTACAATTGCACCAAAACCCTTAAGATACCTAGTTATAATTCTAACCAAAGAGGCAAAGGATCTGTACTCAGAAAACTATAAAATACTCATGAAAGAAATTGAGGAAGACACAAATGGAAAAATGTTCCATGCCCATGGATTGGAAAAACAAATATTGTGAAAAAGTCTATGCTACCTAGAGCAATCTACACATTCAGTGCAATCCCTATCAAAATACCATCCACTTTTTTCACAGAAATGGAACTAATAATCCTAAAATGTGTATGGAACTAGAAAAGACCCCGAATAGCCAGAGGAATGTTGAAAAAGAAAAGCAAAGCCGGCGGCATCACAATTCCGGACTTCCAGCTCTAT